AGAAAACTATGGTTTAGTATATATACTGCTTATGGAAACAAAAGTGTTTGTATTATTCAGTTACAGTCCTAAAAATCTTTTAGTAATCTCCACTTATCCTTGAACAAATAAAATTGTTTTTCTGCACTTCAGAATTATTCTTGTGATGAGTGTGAAGCTTCATATGCGCCATAAAACCTTTTTTCCAAATTTAAATTCTCACATTGTAAGCTTTAGTAATTTCTATAATGTCTATTATATCTTTTTTTTAAAAAAGGAAACATCTCATTGTCTTGGCTTTCAAAGGAATGTTGGCCTCATTTTAAAAAAATTTTTTATTGTAAAGTACTTTATGTCCATAAAGGAGAACCCTGCTGTTTATTAAAAACTCATCATAGAGAGTGAATAAAAAATTCATCACATCATCAAAAATCAATGAATTTATTTCGATGATTTAAGTTTAATTAACTTAGTTAACCTTACCTTAAGGTTATATCTTTATTATATTAAATGACTCTAGTAGTTGTCCACAAAACTATTTCCTAATAATTTTTACATTTGTTTAAAGTATTTTATCTTTTGATTTAAAGCTGTTACGGAAAGAAAATCTGGATTTGAAATTGACACCTTATAAGGTATTAGCCACGAGTACAAAACATGGTGAGTTTATTTTACATAAGGATTGTTTACTTTGATGTCTAATGAGTACTCTTTAAACTGAAAATTCTGAAGAATGTTAGAGATTAAACTTACTTTTGTAGCACTGCAGGCCAGTTAGGCCATGTTTCCTTCTCTGCTTCCTCCTTTTTTTCTCTTTCCCTTCTGTCTCTTCCTTCCATTCCTCCTTCTCGTCTTTCCTCTCTTGCATCACTTCCCTTTTCTTTAGTCTTTCCTACTTTCCTTTTATCCTTGTCCCTCTGTTTCTCCCCCTCTCTTCCCTCTGTTCCCTCACTCCCTATATCTGTTGTGCATGCACACATGCTCTCACTTTGTATTTTTACCTCTTGAAATTATAAAAACATCACCTTTGGAGAAAATTTAACACCTCTGTTATGTATTTCTTTGCATTTAAATTGATTATAATCCACAGATGTTTATTGCATTGTTATCTGTTTAGAATAATCCTTTGAGAAAGGCTTTGCACTGTGCTCTGCTTATAAAAGCTATTCAGCAAATTATGTTGTCAGTTGAATTCTTTTTTATATATTTTGACTATGTGTGCTTGCACATTCACATACAAACATGGATACATGTATATAGCATGTAAGTATTTTTTAAAATAGAATAACCTCTGGAAGTTTGATGGCAAATTCCCTAACAATGCTTGACTAATGCTTTTTGTAAATTCTATACTCTTGTGCTTTATATCTGCAGTTACCTTGAAAAAATAAAATAATTGTTTTAAGTTTTTGCCCTTCCCTTGGCTACTTCCAAGACTATTTGATGATTTTATTATTCTCATTTTTCTTCAAATTGATTTTTATAGAAGTGCAAATGTGCTTCTTTACTATCCTGCATAGGTTTATTTGGTAGTTTTTATTTGCTCTTGGGACAAAGACCAAAAGGCTTTACCTAGATTTAAATTCTTCAGTTGTAGGACTCCCTGTACCTGTCTCAAG